CACGTAAACATATTAATATTATCCATATGTATAAGGAGATTATCACGTAAACATACTAATATTATCCATATGTATATTTAATATTAAACAATAACTAATGTCAGAAACTAGACAGCTAAATTAACGGATTCTGGTGTTTTAGTTGACTACCACGGCAGCGTTGTTTATTTCTTTGAGAGCACGTTCAACGCAAGCACCCGTCAACGTAACACGAGCTGCGGTGAGTTACGTCTTAATTGTCCGTTTAATTATCGTGACGTCATAATTAAAAAAAAAGACTGTTCCAGATTATTTCTCTCGTTTTTAAATTAATTCCTTAATTAATTAATTAATTTATTCGATATCAAGAGGCAAGATTTTATTTTTTAGTTTTTGATATGGATGTTTGGTTAGTTGGGATGAAAGGTTTTACCATCTACTCGTGAATCTGCTTGTTTTATTAACATGTATGTGTTTGTGTGCACGTACGTATGCATTTAAGTGTGTGTATTTGGGCCGGGCGTGTGCTAGTGGCAGGCGTGCCCAGACTGTGAATCCAAGGATTCATGGTTTGCGTCCCATTGTATTAAAAATGCGCTACGAACTTTAGGACTGTTGATACGTTATATTAGTGAAACAAGAGTAAATAAACAGGAGCTATTAACCAGCTATCTTCTCTCTAGTGTATTAGGTCAAAGTTAAACACGGCAGTTTTGTATAACTCTGCGCAAAAGTTCTAAACCAACTAATGTCTGTCTGTGTGTTTATGTACACACGTATATATTATATCTAAATACGCTAGAAACCGGGTTTCGATGCCCATGGTGGGCAGAGCACAGATAGCCCATTGTGTAGCTTTGTGCATAACTACAAACAAACCGTATTTTATAATTAAAATACATCAACTTAGGTATTAATACATAAATACCTTCGGGGTGCTCGTGGTGTCGAAATTTTTTGTTCATTAGTTAAAATATAATACCGATTTCGCAGATCAGCATGGGTTAGTTTTTTAAGTCGTTAAAATATGTGGTTGCTTTAAGTTATGAAATCTTATGTTTTGACCAGACTATAAAGATCTTTAGAAACTTAGGGTTTTTTAATATGGTTTTCTATCTGTTGATACAGGCCTATCCCTCATTCCAGTTGGATGTACATGTTCTCGTCTCACGGCTGTCAGCTGCAGAGACCGGAATCTCACGGATATACCCGCGGGAATTTCTCCTGGTGTTACTAAGCTGTAAGTATTTCCTTCCAACAAATATTTCTAATGATCTTAATAGTGAATGATAAGTAACGATATAGTTCAGAGGTTAATTTATTTCAACCACAAGCTGAATGGACAGTATATGATGACCAAACATTTTAAAGGGAAAAAAAGCACAGTAAAGTTTCCCCTTCCCTCCATTCCCCCTACGAAGAAACGCGCGCTTTCGAAGAATGTGTGAAGAACTAAGTTACTGTTCAGACCGAGGGTGTTGGTAGCGCTCTGGATTTCGGAGTTGGCGAGCCGAGTTCAGATCCGTGCGGTACCCCCAAAAGTATTTCACGTACTTTAAACTGTGAGCGCGTTACGAGCGTTTGTTTGTTTGCTTGTAATTAAGCACGAAGCTACACAATGGGGCCATCTGCGCTCTGCCCACCACGGGTATCGAAACCCGGATTCTAGCGTTGTAAGTCGGCAGATATACCGCTGTGCCACTAGGGGGCCGTTATGAGAGTGAAAGTGTGGATGGTGGGTGATAGGGTTCTGCTTACTGCCGCCTTCCTTCTGATCACTAGCTTAAAACTGAGGATGGCGGCAGATAGACTTAGTAGCCGTGAATTCAGAATACTGATTCTCTGGAAAGGTTATCACAAAAAGATA